CAGTTGAATTCCTGCTCTTCTGATGGTAATGACAGGATGTTCCCGTGGTGTTTGAAGGGTTAAATGTCAACTCTTCAAACTTCCACTGGTACTATTTTCATGACAGCTTGCCACACCCATGGGACCCATTGACACACGTTTATAAATCTATCATAGGTTCACATGACAGAGGAGAAGGTAAAGAACACCCTGTGTGTGTGTGTGTGTGTGTGTGTGTGTGTGTGTGTGTGTGTGTGTGTGTGTGTGTGTGTGTGTGTGTGTGTGTGTGTGTGTGTGTGTGTGTGTGTGTGTGTGTGTGTGTGTGTGTGTGTGTGTGTGTGTGTGTGTGTGTGTGTGTGTGTGTGTGTGTGTGTGTGTGTGTGTGTGTGTGTGTGTGTGTGTGTGTGTGTGTGTGTGTGTGTGTGTGTGTGTGTGTGTGTGTGTGTGTGTGTGTGTGTGTGTGTGTGTGTGTGTGTGTGTGTGTGTGTGTGTGTGTGTGTGTGTGTGTGTGTGTGTGTGTGTGTGTGTGTGTGTGTGTGTGAAAAAGAGAGATGGGTGTGCGCATGTGCTTGAACTACTTTATGGGGGTTTATATCTAAATTGTGTAGGTAATGGTGGAGGGTGAGAACATGTTGGGCAAAGGGACTGAACATGCATTTTAAGATCATTTATTGGGAACTGAAAGTGTTTATTCTCCATAAGGGAAGCAAGGTCAGCCATGATCAGAAGTAGTCAATTTCTGAAAGTAAAACTGGCATCAATTTGGTCTTTTTTTATTTTGCTGATATAAACTAAAGAAGTAAAGATGATTCCAAAAGCTCCAAAGTTCCAATTTCAGTAGTCTTGGGATGGATGGATGGGACTCTGGTGGGTAAAAATGCAAAGGTGTTGATCCCTTTAGCCAACTCTACAACAAAATAATGAATAGAAGTGTGTTATTAATTCCGAACTGTTTATTTGTCTGCTGTTGGGTTCTACTGGCATGCAAGCTAAATGTTAGGACACATGTTTGTTCATTTGTATTATTGACTTCACAAATAATTCATGTTTAAGTACATTTTGTATCTAGTCTTAATACATGCTCAACCTTGATATATAGTCTGATATATTTACCTTGCGTTTAAAAGGCCTTCTTAATATGTTACGTTTTGTACTAGGAAGACTCATATGACAGAAAGAGGAGATAATGGAAGCCTGCTTTAATGCAGGAGGGAGATGTAGAGAGGACTGATCACTGGAAATAAAGGATCAAACCTTACAGAGAAGAAGAAATAGAGTAGTGCTTTTAGTGTGAAATTACCAGTCACATGCAGAAAAACAGGTTGGACCCCTGTGTGTTTGAAGTGTCTTCCAATCCCTCAGACGTGTTCCTTTGAAAAGCTTTTAAAAATATAAAATATATGACACATTTCAAAACCCATGCTCTGCTTAACTGAACAGACTGGCACTGCTGTTCAGTTCAGCCCAGAGTTTCTCAGGGACTGATTGTGTCATGAACTCATGACTGTTGTGGAACTATTTTCCAAGGCCCATAACTTTGACCCAGTTTATCAGTTCAAACTGTCCTGACTGAGCACACGCACCTCGTAACCTTGGCTGCTGTGCTCTGTGTTCTGTCTCCCTGTTCCTGCCTGTTGGCATCAGCTGATAGAGGTGTTATGATTCTATGTTCCTGCCTGTTGACGTCAGCTGATAGAGGTGTTATGATTTTATCTTGTTATGCAGCATGTTGATGATGCTCTCGGGACTAGCTAAATACATGGGTCCGGGGTAGAGTTCTTTAGAATTGACGTGGCAACCCACCCGTGCAGTCAGACCGTGACTGCTGTGACTTGTGATGTGAATCTCTCCGGCCGAAGCTCCAAATAAACCATCAGTGTTTGACATCAAAGCTCCTGCTCTACCGTGTCTCTTTCCTGAGTCGGTGACTCCCACTGCATAGCTACACAGAAGTTTCCCTTACAATGATCAATAATTTAATATTGGGAGAAATAATTAATGCATAGACAAGTTATCGACAAACATCATTATTAAAGGTTAAAGCGTCTGAGTAACATCCAGCAACTCTACATAGACCAAACCAGTGTTTTTGCATGTTGCACTCACCCACCCTACACCCTCATTTCATGAAAATAAGTCATTAGTAAATATATTTCATAAACAAATCACTACATTTTGTTTTTATTTTTAAGTCATGATGTAGTTAGGTAACGTACCTTTAGAATGGTTTTCAACTTTTGAAAGATTTAAAACGTATAACTGGATTACTGGATTAATGGATCAATCCACTTGTAAAGCAATCTGAAGAACCACACTTTGAACTGAACTGTGTAAGGTAGCATAACAAAACCTCCTTCCTTCTATCCATCCATTATTTCTCTTTTCCCCATTTCAATTCCAGCAGTCTGTGAGACAATAAATACATCCATGGACAGCTCAACTTCATCTTCCCCCACCAACCTCGCACTAAACACCTGCTCCCTATCCCCAGAAGTTTGAGGAACTCATAACTTCTGGGCAAGGGTGGTTTTGAAAAAGTGGTCAAATGTATGAAACAAGCCACTGAGCTGACAGACCATAGATATTGCAAAAAAACGATGATGTTCAGACAGGAGGTGGGACACACTGTGGGTTTTGTTGCCACAATTGCAACTACACATTTGGAAAATGGGGTTGGTTGGGATGATTACTAATTGACATGGTAGTAACACAGGACTGTTTGCTACGCTATATATTACATATCTACACCAAAGAAGAAATCAATACCATGATGTTTACAGTATACTGTCCAACAACGTCAATGGGCACCACAGAAAGTGAACTCGACATGATATTTACTTCTTAATCAAGGGCAGCATGGTGGCTCAATCAGTAGCATTGTGGCCTCTCAGTAGGGGAACCTGCTGCGGTCAAAAAGTATTTGATTCGTCATCTCAACTTCACAATCAGCCCTTCCTTGTCCAATTTGGCGTTTTAATGTGAGCCACAGGAAAAATAGAAACAAGCCGCCTGACAAAAGCTCAGGTCAAAGCGGCACACTGGTTAGAAAAACAGTGCATTTAAATGGATGCCCCCACCGTTGCATTGAGTGAGGACATGGTGTTAAACTGGAATGTAGTTTGTGAGCTTTTCCAACCAGGTCACTGAGTTTAATAAATGTATAGGTTTGTCAAGATATTAGTGCAAGTTATAATTACAAAGCAAGGAAACTGAGGCGGGAGCAAAATAGGGAGCAAAACTAAATAGATCAATATCTCAATGCCGTTACATGTAGTGTCCTGTGATCAAATGCATGTTTCTTCACATAGTGAATTTGATAGCTAAGCTGATAACTCAGCAGACACAAACTGGTCTCTGATGCATTATGAGTGAGGAAATTCAAAACTATTTGGGCACTAAAAAGCTTGGGCCTCCGTGTGTATCTGCCCCGTGATTTTGACCCACTTGAACATTCCATGGGTTATTTCTTAATCCAGGCTATACCCTTCCACCAAGATTCATAAAAACTTAGCCATAGCTTTTTTCCTTATCCTGTTGAAAAACAATCCCAACTGAAAATATAACTTCCTTGGTGGAGTTGATGAATCTCGGTAAACAAAAGCACACTGCAAGAGAAAGAAATTGGGTCATCTCTTTACTCTGTCCCTGTTGTTATCTGTTGATGTACAAGAAAAAGGACGAGTGACCATCTTGGCAACATACACAAAATGGACACAATCACATGACAGGACCCTCCGTCTTACATCAGAGGATGAGGACGTGTTTGAGAGGTAATGTCGCTGCCTTGACCCTCCCACTTAACAAGCGCCGTACCTCAAGCTCTGTTAATCTAAAAAACAACCGCCCACATACAACCTACATATATGAGGCCTTGAATCATGAAACTATGTACTCACACATGGACATACAAAGTACCGGTCTGTGGGAACCTGATGATAAAGGAATGTGTGTGTGTGTGAGAGAGAAAGAGAGAAGGGAATGTTTTGCGATGCCACTGCCAAGTCCCAGTACCCCTGAATGCACACCCATCTCTTTTTCACACGCACGCACGCACACACGCAAACACACACAGTTTTCTCTGATTGCTAATTGATTTGGCTCTTGTCCAGGCCCCTCAAAATGAAAAGCTAACACTCCAAGTCAATACGGCCCTCCCTTACTCTCTCAATGAAAAATATGGTTATTAGTGAGCGTGCATGTTCATGCGGTTGTGTGTCGAAATGTCATTAGTATAACATGTCATTTTTTGTGTTTGAGGTCTTACAATTGGCACAAATGCAGCTTCCTGTCCGCCCCAGTGGTAAACCGTGACCTTGAGTGGTTTGTGTTTTTCTTTCATGATGCAACAATTGCTACGTGCAGACATTTAGTGTCCCACTGAGACAGGTTCAATAGCAATCTGAACAGAAGGGAAACAGTGATGAACACAAAGAGGTGGGAACAAATGCTAGTAAACTATAGTAAACAATGTCAAGAGTTATGAATGTGTTTGAAGTCGAAACTCTTCACCCTCAATTACAGGAATGTGTCCATCCATTATTGTGTGTGTGTTTGTTTGTGTGTGTGTGTTTGTTTGTTTGAGAGGAGAGTTGCCAGCTCATTATCTAGGAGCCAAGTAAACAATGTCAGAGAGTTACGACTGTGTTAAACGCTGCCTACAATTCAATAACTCTAAAGTTATTTGGCTAAAGATGTGTGAATTCTTCCTGCTGAGCTGATTAATAAAACTCTTCCCAAATGATGGTAAATTGTCACTAATATACAGTAGACTAGTACACCACATTTCAACTTAGCCGCCCCGTATAAAATATATAGTAATGTGTGTCTACAGCATTTGAAATCTGAAAGTACAAGAAGAGAATAATATTGTATTACTAGGAACCAGTGTTATTAACAAACAATGTAAATGTAATTTACATTTAAATGACTTAAATTAAAACCCAGGCTTTTTCTGTTGATTTGTATCTGCTGCTGAGCAATGAATAACAAACAAGGGAAGATAAAAACTCATGTCACTTTTGTTAAATACATGATTTATGTGCACTGTTTTGAATTAAAAACTAGGCTTTATCATTCTGAGTGACAGTACAGTAGCTGCCGAAGGCATCAGAGTAGTCTACATGTCAAAGCAGCCTTTACTCAAGGAGCTTCTCTCCACTTGAGGTTATAAGTAAGTGCTGGATTCGTGGCTGAACTAAAGTGTTACAATGCCTTTTCCTATCTTTTAATAGCAACAAAACAGATGGTTATTCTTCTACAGACTGGTGGGATTACAATATGTAAATCATTGTTCACAGTTTGTGGGTAAATGATTATTGAAAATATGCTGATATAAAGTAGAGAAACAGAAAAGTACAGAATAACATAAAAGTAGCCACAATAGAAGTCACATTGTTGCTCAATCCTGTGATCTCTATAATGAATTTCTTTCAAAATTAAAATGTCTCATTTTCAGTCATCTGAAGGCACGAGGAATGTCCCGGCAGTCAGCCATGTCACAGACAGTGCAGTGTGCACATTTCATAACATCCCAAAACAAGAAAACAAAAAGAAAACCCTACACTGGCTGCTACAGGACTAAAACAATTATTGAGATTCCTATCATGGCCACCTTGCTACAAAAAGACAAATAACACTTGATGATCTGATAAGCGGCATAAGGTGCACAGTTTGATTGAGTATCAATTTTTTAAATAGGAATATTAGAAGTATGATGGCAGACGTTTGCTTGGGGGAAGCACATGACTGCAGTTTCTCAGTTAACAGGCAAATAAGATCAGCTCTGCGTAGACAATTAGAAGATATCAGTTGGTAACTCAAGTTAACAATCATAAATATATCACTCTAAAATGAGGGAGGAAGGAGTGAACAGCATTATCATGTCTGATCAGACGGCAGACCCTATGAGGAACAGTTCAGCATTTTGGGAAATATATTTATTTGCAGAGTTAGATGAGAACAAACTACTTTCAAATGTGTCTGTTATATATAAGGTTACAAGTTAACCTAGTATCCAAAGGTAACATAACCACCCCAGCACCTCTAAAGCTCACTAATTACCCAGCTATCTGTTTTCCTCTGTTACCACTCAAGGCATATTGAGAATAGTTTTACTTAAAAACAATATATAGATTAATACACAAATAATCCCTCTCAATCATCGATTATGACCTACTCAAATTGTTTGGTGGTGTTGGTGTCGCCATGACTTTGCCCTCTGCTTCTATTTCTTATTTTGTTTTGTTGGTGAAATGCCAAGCTGACAAAGCTGGTTCTAAAACAAGAGATAATCTGGGGTTGTTTTTAGCCTCTGGCGAGCAGCAACATCCCTTTGAGCCTGGCAGGAGTGCCAATTTGAATGTTTACAAACCGCAAATGACAAATCCTACTCATCCTCTCAATCCTGTGCCTTCAATCAAAGCTAATCAGCTACTGGCTGTAGCTCATCTGACTCTCTGCGAGAAAGTGAAAAAGTGTATTTCCCTAAAAGATCAAAGTATTGCTTAATCTTAACTATAGCCAATTATCTTCCTTTTTATTAATTGAATACATTAGAACTGACTTCAGACCACCATCAGATCAAACTATTTGACCTCCTGCAACCTGTTAACAGAATAATGTGACATTTTGAATTTGAGTCAGCTGTCACATTGTGGGAGACTGTGCCCGCCAGTTCCAATGATGAATGCTGACACAGCTAACAAGACATTTCAGGGGACACTAACAAAGACAAATGCATGACATTTTTCCAGTGTGTCAAATGTTTGGTGAAGAAAAATGACCGAATGAAATTCATAATGTGCTTTCAGAGCTAATGGTGAATACATTATATAATTGGTTAATAGAAGGCAGTTTGATATTACATTTTGATTGAATTAAAAGTGAATTCATCTCAACCATGTTGCACGTGTCCAGTCCTTCCAATGATGCACATGACAGTAATGCCCAATGTCTGTATATATCATCCCTTTGATTCTAGTTCAGTCCATGTCTTCTTCTGTGGTTCTTCAGTCATCACTCCAATCCATGCAGCCCTTAAAGGAAGGGGTTTCCCCCCAAAATAAATCTGTCCAATTCCCTCCAAAAATCCTCGATCCAGTGTTTCATTGACATGGACTCCAAAATAAAGTTACATTTCCAGATTGAAGTTACATTCATTCAGCTTGGGTCCCCGACTGAAGGAGTTTGATGTGGTGATCAACTGCATGCAGGCTGCAGAGAGGTGGAGAAACCAGGTAGATTTCCAAGGAGATGTCCCTTCAGAGGGGTCAGGCCACCAGACCCAGGCGGGAGATCTTAGCAGAGAGGAAGGAGTGGAGGATGAAGACCATCGGCTTCGGACATGAGTGGAGATCCAGCTGCTGGAGGAGAAGCGGAAAATAACAGAATTTACTACGTAGTAGATCTAGACAGAATAAAGCACTGCACTTGTGAGAAGTCAAAGAAAGAATATGACTGAAATATGTGAGAATGTATTAGAGCAGAAGGGATGACACAGAGGGGAAGACACAGGGGAGGGAAATAAAAGAGAAATTGTTAGGCACATACAATCATAAAAGTATGCTAAAGATTAGCTTCACAGGAAACAGGTCCCCATGAGGCAAGGATTACAGACCTAGCTTGAACTCAGCACTTCACACACACTAACATCACTGTGAACAACGCTCTGTTCATAGCCTGAATCAACAGCAGTGTGACTCATTTCCTGTTCACCTTTAGGAAAATTGAAACTGTACATTTACACTAAGACTACTGTTTAGTTGGTCATATTTAACACGGTGTACATTTTAGCAGATACCTTATCCCCAGGAAACCCAGGGCAATGAATTATTGTAAACCAGCCTGAGTATTCAGAGGGTCCCTGTGCTGTTGTTAGAACTCAGGCACAGAGAGAAAGCTTTGGTAGGACCCAATTGCACGACCCGGGAGACAGAGGTAAAGTATTGGTAGGATACTTTATTTTACAAAATACAGCAAAAAAAGGTCAATAACTAATCTCAGGATGAGATGAGACAAATTGAGAACAAAATGATAATCGCTCACGTGGCGAGGAACAAAACTTTTCTAGAGCACAAAAGAGCATAGACCTGACCAAGGCAAAAGACAAGGAGCATAGACCTGACCATGACCATAGAAAAAAACGAACTGACACTGAACACTGGGAGACAGGGGAATTTAAACACAGGGTAACAAGACACAGGTGGGAACAATCAGGGGCGGGGTTGACACTGATGAGCACAGGAGACACAGAAGGGGTGACAGGTGAAAACAATCAGGAAATTAGACACACCAGGGAAACGACAGACATGAAGACACAGGGGAAAAGACCAGACAATACACAGGGAGGAAAACATGACAAGAAAGACATGACAAAACACCCACTACCAGACACACAAAACTAAAAACGTGACACAACACAAGAATCGTGACAGCTGTGGAGGATGCTCTGCCTCGTTACTGTGCCTGAGACGATGTGTCCCAGAGGCTAAAAATACTTTTAATGCACATTTATACTTCAACTTTTTTTTTCAAATATATATTTTGTATTCTAATAACTGTCACGAAACCTAATTACCTCCTGGAATAAAACATTGAATGATTGATTATGAGTAGTGGTTTAGTCCAGTGGAAGTTATTTCCACTGGGATGGTTTGCTATGGATTTTTATACAGATAACCATGAGGGGCAAAGATTCTAAATGACTTTCGTTATCCCCTACCTTTTCAACTAAAACCGCCAGCAATTTGTGTATATTGGTTAACATTTTTTCAACTGATCAACCACGACTAGGTGGATTGTGAATTCTACTTCTCATCTAGTACTATCCTCAAGTCAAAATGTCAATTTGTTCAACACCCTCGTCTATGACTGAATATCTTTTTTTTTAAAAAGAAGGAATTATGTTCAGCCTCAGTTGTAAATTGTGTTTAGTGCAAATAAGCATATATTAGGATGCAAACAGGCTAAACTGGAAGGTAATACAAAAGTAAATATTGTATCTGCCTAACATTGGTATGTTAGCGATGACATTGAGAGTTTGTTAGAATTGCTGACTCGCAGTGTAGCACAACGCACTTCTGTGTTTAGGAGCTACTAGCGTCCTTGTTATTTTATAAACCATTTTCTGTATCTTTGAATTGCTGTGACAAAATTAGATATACACAGTCCCTGCCAACTAATGACAGTATAGTCAACACTTTGAGAAAAAAGCCCAGCTGATTCCGCTTTCAAATGTTGGCTAATGAGCCCTCAGCCACATCCGCAAGGTGTCTTGGGATTTTTATAAAGCCTCGTCTATGACTGTGTTGTGATTCAGAAAGGCTACAGACACCAAAATCTGTTCTGCTCAGGTAGCCAACAGAGGGTTCTGAATCAAAGCTCCAAAGTCTCTGCTTATTTGCCTTCAGCAGAGTCTGAGCTGGGAAACAAGTGTATCTGACAGGAGTTTTATATGGAGCTGTATGTGGACTACTCAAAGAAATGTAATCAAATGTTTCCAATGTTCAAATGCCATATGCCTAGACAGTTAATATTTTAGATTTGACTGTCACTTTATTTTCCAGCACATGGTGAATCAGTGTAATGGCTTTATGTATGATAAAACGTAAATGTTTTTCTGGGTAAGTGCCAAGAGAGGGTAATAGATGAGTTTAGAGATGTGATCCTCCTAACACCATGATTAATATTCACATCAGGGTTTTTCACTAACCCTCCAAGAGGCGAAAAACTACATTTTTACAGCATATGAAATAAAGACATTGGGAAGGGAGAGTTTTGATTGTTTTTAGCTATACAAGTCGATAACTTTGAGGGTGGGCTTGAGCCCGGCCACCTGGACCCTCTCGAGCTGCTGAGTGGTAAACAGATGAAATCTCTTACAGTAAGTGGCAGGCTATTTATAAAGAAAAGTCCACTCTCCACTGCTCTTACCTGGTATATGTGAAGTTCTTTATTTTGTGATGAAGTGCTGTAATTCAGTTCCTGCTGTACCACTTTCCCTCTGCCTGTCTTGTGCACTTCAACCTCTCCAATTTGTGTTTGGCTTCATTTCCCAGAAGGCCTCCTAAACTCCCCTGAGAGTGAATATGAGCTCGTTCTTTCTATTGTACGGGGTTGTACACATCTACAAAAACATACTTGATTTTATATGTGTTTTGCCAATCAGTGTGACATGAAAAGCAAAAACTAGGAAGCAGAGTTATTAATATTAAGGCTTACATTTGCACTCATCCTACCTTAAAATGATTAAGTGCAATTATCTTAGACTATATTAGATATTTAGAGACTATCTTGAAGGCCTGTTGCACCACTGTTATCATCAATGAGTGGTATGTCCTGTTTGCTAAAGCAAAATGGAGAGAACTAGCGTGCTATACTGAACAGACAATACCCCATCTAAGAAAATAATGTGTGGGAACATTTTGGAAATTACATAAAAAACTATGTTGTATAAAAAACATTGTAGTTTAGGATTAAGCCTCATGGGTTAAAATAATACAAACAAGTTACATGTTAGTCCAGATTTGTTCAAATTTCATTTGAAAGACTATTCTATATTCTATTGCAGCTGATACTGAGGAGAAAATGGCTGCCTCATCTTTGATGGGTTTCTAGAGAGTACTACTCACAATCCTTCTTATGATTTCTGGTCATGTGTGTAAATTGTGTAACAAAAATGTGCTTTAAAAAAAAAGATATACTCACTATCGCTCCCTCCTTTCCTCCAAAGTCAAGAAAGAGCAAGCGAACTCCATCATCTGAAGACATTTTTAGTTTCTCGTAGGGGTAGGAGAGGACCACCCGGGGCCTGGTAGGTGTGTGGGCTCCTCTCTCCTCCCCGTCTCCCCCCTCCCCCAGTGAGGGGTCAGCCAGCACAGAGAAGCCTTGCTCGTAGTGAATCACCAGCCGGCACTCCTGACTCTGGTACAGACAACCTGGAAGATGAACAGACAGAACATTTTCATTTTGGATGAACAAAATCAAAATCCTTTCAAAAACACATTATTGATGTGTGGATGACAGGCCCACTTTGATTCACCTGGTACATGCTATATGTAATATGTCATTACACTGAGAGGTAAACGTTAGACTCACAGACTTGTATTTAGCTAAATCAAATCAAATGCATCTTCTTTGTCCTTGGAACACTTTCTCTCCTTACTTTTAGGGACATGTAGTTTTTCTATTGTCGAATTACTTAAGTAATAAGTGTTGGCCTGTACAGGCAGGGCAGGGCTATCCAGTATAATTAATGTGATATGTTACTAGGTTGGATGTTAGTACAAAGTGAATTAGTTTTCTTAGATATATATATAAAAAAATGGATGACATTGATAAAGTCTCTTTTTTTTCATGTGTCATTCACTGTACTCGCGTTGTAAAACAAAAAAAGATATACGTTTTCAAATTTGCTCAAAAGCCTTACATTTGACTACATAATTTGGTAAAACAATAACATGGTATGATACATTTCCAGTGGAAGTCTTTAAAACATGTTCTTCATTGAGGTTATTGATGATTGTTTATGTTACTGTGTTGATCCGATCTTTAGAGACTTGCTGCCGCAGAATTGTACGGCATTTTAGTATTTGGAGTATTATTCAAGTCATTCGGATTTATATTAATGAGGGAAGACTAAACATAAGTGACACTTCTTACTGCATTGAACCTTAGTTTCAGCTAGTTTTAAAGCACATATGTATGATCTTCTTTTTAAAACACAGTACATTTCTGTCATATCTTTAAAGCAGACTGTTCTAACTCATGTATATTTTACACATTACAATTTGCCACACTTCAGTGACAGGCTTCTCTCTTCACGTGGAGACCGATGGTCTGCAATGTATCTGTTCTGCATAATTTCTCCTCGCTTTACTTCTCTCTCCTCACAGCATGTGTCCGCTTGAAAGCAGAGTGTACCATCTACTCTCCCAATTTACACATCACTTTCCTCTGCTTTAATGACAAACCTGTCGCATCTCCACACAGTGTAATCTCACTGCATTTAGTCTGATGTTTTCAGTGCCTTGACAGCAGAGCTCCCTCGCTACAGCCCCTCCCCCCCACCCACCTCCACTTTTGCATGCTGAAAACTTCATTTACAGAATAGGCTTCACTCTCTTGACGACATCTGATCAATTGAGCGCTGTGTTTGTGACAAAGAGACGGTGAGCGAGAAAATAGTTGTTATCTTTCCAGTGTTTGCTGACAGCCTGAGCAGGAAGTGTGTGTGTGTGTGTGTGTGTGTGTGTGTGTGTGTGTGTGTGTGTGTGTGTGTGTGTGTGTGTGTGTGTGTGTGTGTGTGTGTGTGTGTGTGTGTGTGTGTGTGTGTGTGTGTACAGGTAGGGAGTGTCTGTTTGCTAGAGTTTACATATGAAAGTGAAAGTGTGTGTATAATGCCTCTAAGCAGGCTACGTAAAAGGGTGTATTTTCTATCTTGCAGTAATGTGAAACAATCATGAAGATGCATACGAGTGTGCGTCTTCTCTCTTTGTATGTTTTAGAATAGCATGTCTGTTTACATATATGTACGCTCAGTGTCCTGCATCAGTCTCTTTTGTCAGAGAGTCAACCGGAGATTCTATGACTACTCAACCACATTGCCAGTCAAACAACCCTAATCACCTTAATCCCTTTGACGTTCGCTTCTTTACCTAAAGGCAATTATGAAACCGGAAGGTTGGCAAATATGTACACACCAGAGTTGGTCAAAGGCAAATTCTTCTAGTGAGTTTAATTCAGCCTTCACAGAGGAGCAGATGAGACTGCAGAGCTATGTAATCAAGTTGCAGAAAACATGTACGAAATAGATTATCTGTCACTGTTTCTAATACAGGAATGCGCTCGGCATATTTTTTTTTGGTGGAAAAGTTTAATCATTTTATAACTGTAGTTAAGGCTCATAAGCCTCTTTGCTAAAATGTGAGATAGTAACTTTAAAGAAATGTATTTAAATGGACTCAGAACCCATACAGACACAAAGATGGAGTTGCAGATTTAGAAAGTCTCTAACATTATGTGGAGAATAGCTTTGGTACAGGCAGAGCACTCAAGTCATTAGCTGCTTGACTTCTATTAAAGCATGTGTACACTGTGTTTCACTATCAAGGTGCAAAAACAAGCTATATTTGTGTGTGCTTGTTGAGGGGGGAATAAGAGCTGGGATGAACTTGTTCTAAACTAGGTATTATGAAACGCTGACCCACCGCTAAAATTTAAATGTGTATAGCTTTGCCAACAGCTAGACAGCTACACAAGGTTAAAATATGTTTCTATTGTAATATATAGTATCGTGCATATTCCAGGATAGCAATACCACTGAAGTAATGTACAGTAGAAAGTGCACATTTTGGGTTTTAGACAACATTTTGTGTCAGGAGCAGAGAAGTAGTGTAGGCTACATTATGGCCTTTTCAAACACACTAAACACATCAGATGTGTGTTGATTACAACTTCCAAGGGTAATGTAATGTTGACAAGGAGAAAACATCACATAGAAAAATGTGCTGCACACGGAGTGAAATACACAGTGTAATATCCCCAGAACCCTGAAGTCATCCCATTCATGATGAAAAATGAGTCTCATAATGTGTAATATTATTCTAATGATTTATAAACAATCTGGCAGGACAAACGTCTCCCTAATGGCATAACAGTTCTAAGTGGGGCAAAGAGTGCTGGTCTTTGTAATGAAAATTAGACCTGAAACACCCCCCCCCCCACACACACACACACACACACACACACACACACACACACACACACACACACACACACACACACACACACACACACACACACACACACACACACACACACACACACACACACAACACACACACACACACACACACACCACACACACACACACACACACCACACACACACACACACACACACACACACACACACACACACACACACACACACACACACACACACACACACACACACACACACACACACACACACACACACACACACACACACACACACACACACACACACACACACACACACACACACACACACCACACACACACACACACACACACACACACACACACACATTTCAGGTTTCAACAAAAACCCCTCTTTCTGTCTGACGGTGAGTGGAAAAGACAGCGGGGGGGGCAGAGAGTGATAACACTGAGAGAGGAACTGAATGAAAGAAGACAGTGAGAGAGGAGAGGGACACCAACTCTGTTACCACCAGTGCAAACACTGAAAAGGTTATTAGGGGACAGAAACTCGGTTTTCTCTGTCATTAGTTTTAAACTTGTTAAATGGAATACTTCACATTTTAAAACTGCTTCCCCCTGTGCTGAACTCGTGTCACAGCAGGTTACCGTGATGATTCTCCACAACCACCAAGGTAAAATTGCTTCGTGTGCTTCGAGTCATTAAGCTGTTTACCTGTTCATTAAGGAGACCCAGTCGAGCCCTAAGACCATTTTACAGCTGGCACCTTTGACAATAACATTAATGAGAAGGCTGTGGGTGTAGAAGAGGGACTAGTGGGATTACTGACTAAACAGATACATCCGAAGCTGGTCATAAAGAAGTGTTGTGTTTCCATTCTTAATGGAAAGCTTTAGGTAAGGAAACTGACAGCTGGTTGTAGGTTTGTTTTTATATGACAGACTTGATTGGTATCAAGTCTCTTATCTATCTCTCTGCAAGAAAGCAAATTAAAGTGCCCAAAATATCAAACTATTAACATAAGTGCTCAAGTGAAATCTGCAAAACAACTGACGGTAAAATCCATCCTCAGATCTATTTATATTCTGCAACATGAAATACTGCATAAAACAGATTATTGATTCCTGATAGGTTGATTAAGACTCCAGTGAAGTGAGTAAAGCGTTAGAGGACACTAGGAAGAGCAGAAATGCGGTAAACATAAGCAGGGTTTTAACTTCAGAACATGATAGACAGATGCCTTATCCTGCTAATTGCTAAAAATATCAATATAACCAGGGCTGCACATAACTGGTGCGCAGGTTCGCATGCGCACCTCCGCCAAAAAAAGAGCACCGGGTCATTTGAAACAAAGCGCATTTGCGTACCAACATTGAGAGAGGGAGAGAGAGAAGGGAGAAGAGAAAAGAGAAAATAGAGGAGAGATGAGAGAGAGAGAAGAGAGAGAGAGAGATATATTTGCGAGTTGCATATGAACCATGATATGAACTCAGGGCCGGCCCGTAGCACTGGCTAGATGTTCGCCTAGGGCGCCAGATCTGGGGAGTCGCTGCGCTGGCAGTTCTGGGAAGGAAAAAAACATTTTGACCGTTGGTGCTCATCCTAATTTTCGGCCTTGATGTAACAATATTCATAATTAAGTAAATGTAACACCCTTTTCACCCCGGTTACACGTTTCATTTGCCCTGTACGACGGGCGCTGTAAGTGATGAAAATGGGGGATGTTGGCTTATCTGGCGCCCGCAGCTCACAGCCAAAGCAAGTGAGCGAGGGAGGGTGCACCGGTACCGGCGCCGTTGTTATTAGAATCTGGTGCCGTGCTAGCTGCTCTAACGGATATAAGAAGAAGATGTTTCTACAATAATGTGGAGGGAGAGTCCTCTCCAGTCAGACTGAGAGGCTGATAACTACAGCTCAGTGAGGTAAAGGACTCTTAGTGTTTAGATAGTTCACTTTAGTCTAAATTCAAACGGTTTGGTCACAATTTATGTAAACAAATATTTCCAAGGCACTGCTTTATAATTATTGGGATAAACAGGTTTGAAATCATTCCACCAATGTATACTATAGGACAGTAACCAAAAATATCCTTTAAAACTGGAGAGATTAAAAAAATGCATAAATAAATAAATGTTAAGGTAAAATAAGATATGAATGAACAACACAAATAAAATAAGTTACATTAATTTGTTATTGGCTATAGGTTATTGGTTATGTTCCCATACTTATTTGATTACATCCACTTGTCTAAGATGACAACAGAGACTTTCGACCCAAAACCAGCAGCTAATCGCAGACTCAACCAGAGAGAAAGTAGTAGGCCTACATCATCAGCTACCATGTCTGACAGAGAGGAAGAGAGTGAGGAGAACAGTGAGGAGAACAGTCAGGAGGGTAGTGATGACAGCTTGCAGGATTACTGGTTGTGCTAATGTTGTCTTGTGTTCACCTCTGCATGTGTGTTCAGTGTTCACCTCTGCATGTGTGTTCAGTGCCGTGTGTCTGGCAAATAAAGACCCCCTCAAAAGTTACGGTTTATTTAATTTTAAGGATGAGCACCAAGCAACATCTCCAGGTGCTCCTTTGAGAACCAGGGCAAAAAAGTTATGTGCACCCCTGAATATAACCTAAGAAAAGTCACCTTGGACATAAACATAATAGAAATGACTCCGGGCCATGTGTCTGTGAAATTTGACTTGAGAGCCTAACAAATCTCTCTCCTTCTTAACGTCGCTCTGAGAATGGCCTGCTGCCCGTCAAGTGATTGAGTGTTAATCTCTTCAGAGAAAATCTTCATCACAAGCCTTGACAGTGAAGAAACCATCGCAATGATTTATCAGAACGTGACACAAAGATTACAAAGTCAGCACCACAACTGCAGGTGGCAACTGCTGAAAAATGAGGGAATGCACTTTGTATGCATTATCCCACTCGCTTTCGGGGAAGTGTAAATTACTTTTTCTCCTTCCATAACACGAAATCGAGGGCTTGGTGCTAACATCAACCTGTTTCAGAAAAGTTATAGGATCCAATTTAGACAGAAATTCAATGATGAGCAATAAAGATTCACAACCATTTTCATTTTTCCTCATCTTTTCAGCCTGTCTGACTTGTATCCTAAATCTGTATTACACTCCAAAATGAAAGAAAATAAATGTTTCCACCTATTGTAGTGCCATGGCTCTATGGATGGTGATGTTGGACTGTGGGTCTGCCACTTTTGGACAAACTGAAGCATCTAAACCACAATTAAGCCCTGAAATATTGTACTGACATTCATCGTCCCCAGAGGATAAATCTTTATGATTTTGGTGAACCCCTGACTTCTTGCGCCACCACTTAGTGCTAATTAGTAAGATTCTGTGTGCTAAACTAAGATGGCGAACAGTGTAAACATTAGGACTATTCCATTGTCACACATTGTCTTATGGACTCCTGTTTTAAGGCCTTGAATTTCGCTATCTTTGTTTTTTGGTGGTGGCCTCCTTGGTATTTTGTAACCAGAAGTGACACAACATGTCAACAAGCATTCATGGTAAATGGACTGCATTCATATGGTGCTTACATACCTGTAAGCTTTTATAGCGCTGTATGACACTTTCCCAGTCTTTACAAGCCCTCAAAGTGCTTTTTCATACACAAGTCAGCATTCAACCATTCACACAGATCTCAGGGAATCTGCTCTGGGAAACTAACATTCACAGACACTTACACAAAATTGGCAATGCCATCGGGAGTACCTTTGCTTTAAGTATCTTGCTGGGATCATAACCATAATTGCTAGAAAACCCCGCTCCCTCACAGCCACAGTGGACCCTGTCATCTGTCAGTGGCAAATGCAAGTGCAACATTTAGCAGCAAAATGAAAGCTAATTATTAAGGCTAATTAATGCTAATGTTATATCTACTCACCTAAGTGGCAAAAAAAAACAATTAAGGCAGGTTTTTAAGGCGCGTGGGTTTTAATGGATCCCAGCTGATTAGATTTATGCACAATTTGTAGGGAGGGCAGAAAATTGCATGTGGTAACAGGACACAAATTACCAATAAGAATGATAAAGGAAATGTAAAATGTTCATTAAAAACAGTAAGCAAAATCCTATTCACTCCTATGAAGCTCTTATCCAAAATAAGTGTAATCACCAGTGTGGGTGCACCACAGGTCTGCAGGCCAGGGCCCTCCACCTCATCTGTTGCCTTATCTTACAGTGAGTCAATACTAATCCTGTTGTTTCAGTCTAGACAGCGTTTTGTCATGGGATTAAAAAAATATGTCCTTTTAGCATTCACATCTCCTCACAAATTACCTTGACAAAGAAAATGTGATTATTTTCAAACATCTTGGGGATGTTACATTCAAATTGAGCTCTCCAGGCATGAATGTAGCCTTGCTATGCCAATCACAGCGTAACATTTACACCTGGATAATTGGGTGAAGACACACTTCCAGAAAGTTTTAACAAAAGCTTGGTGATGTGTAACTAACACTGACAACCGGGATGTAGTGTTGAGGGTGTGTATGATTTGCTCCTGAAATCTCTCTATTTCATATATGAGTGTAGTCTGAAGTCGAACTTTATTTGGCACAGTGTTATCACAGAAGACGAGAGGAGGGAGGCCCAGGGGAGAAGTGCAGTTCCCAGGACATTATGTATGAGAGGGAGAGAGAGGGGGAGATGGAGGGGGAGAGAGAGTATATTCTGTTGGAATTCCCTGGACGGCAGAAATTGAATGCCAAATACCTCCCCCCCCCACACACACACGCACACTAAAATAGCATTCCATTCTATAAATAGCTTTAAATGCTTTGTCCCTCCACATCGTCCATATGGCTGTCAAGTTATATCACTAACCTTCTCAGCGTATAAGTGGGCGTATGGTGAATGTATATGATTTGCTTCTTGCACTTAACTTGTGGTGCTTGCAGTGCATACCCTTGCAAACTCTTAAGTCTCACTCTCTTAGCATGTATTTTGCTACAGCGTGCCTCCACACGTCTGAGGATGCATCACATAATCCAGCGCATTGACCTATACTACTCTCAATCTCAATCCACAGCTACATGTCTTATGGCATCTAAATTCAGTACCACTCACTTGTGGTGACCTCTTTGATCATCTCGGCTGAGGCGTGACATCCATTGACTATTTGTCTGGTCCACAGGGACAGATCCTTGGTGGTCTCGGCCCGGAACAGGTGAGTCTCGATACCGAGCCGTGTGCCAGTCCGAGTGGCGAAGAACAACTCGGTGCCAGAGTGCGGCGACCCCCGGTCAGGACCAGAGTGGACCAAACTGGAGAAACACACACATAGAAAACATTTAGTTGCAAAGCTTCAAAAGCACTTGTGATCAAAACAAGAAGCAGGCGCCAATTCATATTTTTGCTTATCTTGGTGAAATAGGCCTATAACCAATCTGCAACACTGCTACATTTTCATTACAGTCAAAGCACCGCTGTGGCTAAGTACAGCCTGAAAGAGCATGTAGCATGGCAGGGGACTGTTGTTTGAAAATCCTCAAAATCCAATACGTTGACTTTGATACATACAACAATCCCAGTTGTGCAACACTTCACCTGTCCGTGGTGAGGCAAGAGCCTGAAATCTCTAAAGGGTTTATTATACCGAAATCAGTGAATGGAGAGATTTGAGACAGAGCCTAAAGGTCTACATTCATACAGCAGCTCTGTGATGCTGATCATTATAAACAAAACCAAATTTGACGATGGATAGAAGCTGAAGTTCAAAGCTGCTTTTGATGATTCTGAGGAGTCGTTGTGAAGTAAATAATAAAATGGTAGAGGTTGGTATTGTTACGGTTGTAATGCTTACGTGATCACAATAATAATGCTAACTTGGTAGTATTAAGCACATGATGTTAACCTATTAGAAAAACATGTTAAAATCCTTTGCAATATTCAAATTAGCAGCACATTATCACAAGAAGTGGCTTTAATAAAATTGATATTGTAGCAGAGTGTATTTTTCAATTGATATCTAATTTAGTATTGCTTTCTAAATCACAAAAGTCTCTGATTCTTCTGATATCTGTACCTATGGTAGTGGACCTACCGTGTTGCTAACAGTGGGTAGGTGTGAGCAGGGCTTTGCCAGGCCTCCTTGCCTCGCGGTAAGCTCTCGTACAGCAGCAGGTCTTTCTCTGTCACCACCACCAGCACCGGCTTCCAGCTCTGCTTCTCGCTCTCCGTCTGCAGCAAAAACACATAAACAATGAGACAGGAACGTTTGTAAACATCTATCGATATTCTATAGCCACTTATCTAATACAGGGCCATGGGCAGAAACACATTTACATAAACATAAAGACATTTAAACCTAGTTTCTTCAATAATTTGTCAAATTGTCAACCCTGAAGTAATCAATTATAATGAGTACTGAGTGTGCTCAGGGGCAGCCCAAAATTGTCTATTTTTTTAAATATCCCTTTATATATTTCTCAATGTACTTTTTTTCATAATGTTAAGGGATCTTTGTGGAGCTTAAAAATATAAATTAATTGATTCAAGCATACAAGGCTGCTTATTCAGAATTATATTTGAATAAAGCACAACCCCTTGTCACAAACGCTGAAAGGTCTCCAAAAGCAGGTATTTCATCAGTAATATCAATGGTTGTTTTTTCATTTTATTGACAATTTTAACTTTTTCTGGGACCACAGACATCTTTTCAAGGCAAATGGAGTTTGCCTGAACAAGTCAGGAGTGAAATTGTTTATCTCTAACATATTCAACTGCCAGCGTTATCAATCTGTTCCCTCTGCCAAGAACAAGCGGCAAGAGGAATCAAAACAGGAGAAAGACACAACACATCGCGCAGAAAACCCTGAAGAATTATCACTGTACCCGCCTGAGGAATGTTGTATGAGACACATGGAGGAGTCTCCACTGCCCGTCACCCCCTCCCCCCTATCAACGCCTTTGAGGATACTCCGTTCACCCTTTCACCCTCGCCCACCCTCCTGGGGATCGTTGAACACATGAAGGAGATACAGAGGGTTGGCACCGATTCCTTCCTGGAGTTCAAAGACCAAACTAAGGCGATACGCAGGGCTGGCACCATGTCCTTTACCCCCGCTCCTCAGCGACGGCCATCAATATTGCCGCGGAGACGCGCGCCGTCTCCCCCGTCTTCATCGCCGTGCCTGCGTCAACCACCTCCCCCCCCTGGCAGCATGTCCTCTACCCCCGCACCATCTCCCACGTCTCCATCACCGTGCCTGCGTCGGCCGCCCCCCCTCCCTTCGAGAGGGCATCTGCAGTCTCCGAAGCCTGATAAGGATGTGTGTGTACTAAACGCTGCAAACTGATATTTGCTGGGTCCAGGCTCAAGGGCGTATGGCACTCTCAACTCTTTCCAGGACATGCCGGGGCCCTGCCTGCCAGTAGCTTTGCCGATATCTGTGTTGATAGGTAATAGATTAAGAGCGGTGAATCATCTTAGAAACAGGAAGCGCTCAAACGTTTGTGTGAGTTTATCTAATTTAGCAGTGATTCCATGTCAGCCACAGCTTGTTACAAAAAACATGACTGATGGTGTGTTTAACGAACTTAAACTAGCTTTATTAAATGTCAGGTCTATGGCAGGAAAAACATTTTTAATCAATGATTTTATCACTGAGCACAATCTCGATTTTATGTTTTTAACAGAAACTTGGATTGAACAAAATAACAGTGCAGCTGTTCTTATCGAATCAACCCCTCCCAACTTTAGTTTTATGAGTCAGGAAAGAATGCATAAGAAAGGGGGTGGAGTTGCTATTCTGTTCAATGATTCCCTTCAATGCAGGAAGACATCTTATGGAAACTTTGATTCTTTTGAATATGTGGCCCTTCCGCTGAAATGCTCCTCTCGAGCTCTGTTCCTAAATATCTATAGACCACCCAAATACTGTGCAAGCTTTTTTGATGACTTTACTGAACTGCTGTCTATAGTGTGTATTGACTTTGACCGTCTAGTCATTGTTGGTGATTTTAACATCCATGTTGACAACCCCCAGGACAGAGGGGCTAAAGAACTGTTTTGTGTTCTTGATAGCTATGGACTGACTCAGCATGTGACGGAGCCCACGCACAATAAGGGGCACACTCTGGACTTAATTATCTCAAAGGGTCTGAATATCTCTAAGGTTGTGGTGACTGATGTTGCACTCTCTGACCATTCCTGTGTTTTCTTTGAGAGCTCTATTTTTGTTCACAAAAATGTTCAAAAAGAGGTAACCACAAAGCGATATTTAACTGAAAATACTAGGGAAATGTTTACTCAGAATTTTTCTTCCACACTTGCCCCTACTAACATCTCAGTAAATGAGCTAGTAAATCATTTTAATTCAAAAATTAAAAATGTTATAGATGCCATTGCTCCAACTAAGGTAAAGGAAGTGTCTGGCAAGAAAATATCTCCATGGAGAAAGGCCATGACCGTGAAAACAGAAAAAGAGAATGTCGAAAAGCTGAACGCAGGTGGCGAAAACCAAATCTCCAGGTTCACTTTGAAATCTATAAATAAAGACTTGGCCTTTATAATTTGGAATTGAAAAACGCACGACAATCGTTCTTCTCGGACATCATTACCAAAAACAAAAACAACGCACGTGCCTTGTTCGCTACCGTCGACAGACTAACTAACCCCCCAGTGTCAGTAGCCTCTGAATTTCTATCCACCAGGGCGTGCAATGATTTTGCCTCCTTTTTCACTGACAAAACTCAGAAAATCAGACAAGCAGTCAGTGCCTCTGCATCAGGAACAGCAAATGTGTTGTCTCTGTGTCCACTTAACATCAATTCAGACATCATGACACAATTCCATCAGATTAATGATAAAAACCTAGAGGACATTATTCAACTTCTGAAATCCTCCTCCTGCTGCCTTGATATTATTCCAACAGGATTTTTCAAAGATGTTTTGCCTTGCATGGCCTCAGATCTACTTCATATAGTAAACAAATCTCTTCACTCAGGTATTTTTCCACAGGCCCTGAAAACTGCAGTCATTAAACCGCTCTTAAAAAAGAATAATCTAGATGCTTCAGTAATGAACAATTACAGGCCCATATCAAACCTCCCATTTCTAGGTAAAATCATTGAAAAAGTTGTTTTTCAACAGTTGAGTAATTTCTAGCATTTAAATAACTGTTTCGATGTGTTCCAGTCAGGCTTTCGTCCAAACCACAGCACTGAGACTGCTCTTGTAAAGGTCTTCAATGACATCCACTTAAACACAGACAGTGGCAGAACTTCAGTGTTAGTATTATTAGATCTCAGTGCTGCGTTTGACACTGTTGACCACAACATATTACTAGACCGACTGGAAAACTGGGTGGGACTTTCGGAAACAGTTCTAAATTGGTTTGAATCCTACTTAAAGGACAGAAACAACTTTGTTTCTATAGGTAAATACACATCTGAGTTGACAAATATGACATGTGGGGTTCCTCAAGGCTCCATCTTGGGGCCTCTTCTCTTTAACATCTACATGCTACCACTGGCTCAGATAATGAAAAACAACAAAATAAGTTACCATAGCTATGCAGATGACACACAAATTTACGTAACAATTTCACCAGGAGACTATGCTCCAATTCAAACACTGAGTAAGTGCATTGAACAAATCAATGACTGGATGTGTCAGAACTTTCTCCAATTAAACAAAGATAAAACTGAGGTAATGGTTTTTGGAGCCAAGGCAGAACGTATAAAAGTTAGCGCTGAGCTTCAGTCTGCAATGTTCAAAACAACAGATAAAGCCAGAAATCTAGGTGTAGTCATGGACTCTGACCTGAGTTTCAACAGTCACATTAAAACAGTTACTAAATCAGCCTACTATCACCAAAAGAATATATCTAGGATTAAAAGACTAATGTCACAGCAGGATTTGGAAAAACTTGTCCATGCTTTTATCTTCAGTAGACTCGACTACTGTAATGGTGTCTTCACGGGTCTCACTAAAAAATCTATTAGGAAGCTGCAGCTGATTCAGAACGCCACTGCTCGAGTCCTCACTAACACTAAGAAAGTGGATCACATCACTCCTGTTCTGAAGTCTTTACACTGGCTTCCTGTGTGTCAAAGAATAGATTTCAAAATACTGCTGCTGGTTTATAAAGCACTGAATGGTTTAGGCCCAAAATACATTTCTGACCTCCTGCTAAATTATGAACCATCCAGATCTCTCAGGTCTTCAGGGACTGGTCAGCTTTCTGTCCCCAGAGTCAGTACTAAACATGGAGAAGCAGCGTTCAGTTATTATGCTTCAAATATCTGGAACAAACTCCCAGAAACCTGCAGGTCCGCTGCAACTCTGACTACTTTTAAATCCAGGCTGAAGACTTTTCTTTTTGTCGCTGCTTTTAATTGAACTATTCATATCTTAGATTGCACTGTAACTTTTATCCATGTATTTTTTCTTTTAATGTTTATTTTATTAGCTTTTCTTTTTAATGACTGATTTTAAATGCCTTTTTCTTAATGTCTTTCATTTTTTGTAAAGCACTTTGAATGGCCTTGTGTTGAAAAGTGCTATATAAATAAACTTGCCTTGCTTTGCCTTACCAGTGAGCTGGCTCTTTGGGACTTATGGTGTGTCAGAGAGAGGAATGGTGTGTGTGTCTGATCTGTAAAAGACTCTGCAGTGGTAGTAGACCAGCGTTCATCTCTCAACCTAACTCTTTCTATCTGTCTTTTTGTCTTATTTCCCTGCCAAATGCTCCAAAACTAATCTAAATGTCACAATGCTGTTCTGGGACATCTCTAGACATGAGAACCATCACTATACTGTTGTGTGTAGCTAGAGGAGAATTGACCAAACAATGAATGTATCTGGTTTGCAGATGCAGGTACACATTATACATATTTTCTTTGCCGAGTCCCCTTGCCCACCTATCCCTCTTTTTCCCCTCAGAACAGACTGCTAATCTCTAAACTTAGAACACACACACACACACACACCCCCACACCCCCACCCCCACACACACACACACACACTTTTACAATGCTCCATAACTATTCTCATTATGAGCGCTTATCTCCAGCCCAGCTGTGGAATCCTAAGCTGCTCTTTCAAGTGCTGCCTAAGCCAATCATATCAAAGGATTTAAAGGGTCAAGGGTCAGTTTTTTAACATAATAAGAATATGTTGACAGTGACAGAATTGTACTGCCTTTAAAGCAGTGGTTCTCAAAGGTCGCAGAGTCATGCCAGGGGGGGCGCGAGGGACCAGGAGGAAAAATGGCTATAAATAAAAGAAATCATAAATTGAAAAATTATTGATTCGAAAATAATATGATGCAGTACAGTACTATTACGTCTGGGTCTCTGTGTTTCATTAAAGCTCGGCTCTGTGTGTGTGTGTGTGTGTGTGTGTGTGTGTGTGTGTGTGTGTGTGTGTGTTTGTGTGTGTGTGTATGTGTGTGGAACGAGCCATTTTGTAAGCGCGAGAGAGAGAGAGAGAGCGCACCGGTACCGGAGATCGTTGTTGTTAGCGTCTGGTGCTAGCGAGCTACGCTAACGGATATAAGGAGTTTTTTCAACAACAAAGTGGAGGAGAGTCCTCTACTGTCAGACTGAGAGGCTCAGTGAGCTAAAGGACTCTCTCAGTGTTATCTCAGTGGGTCTCAAACGTTTTGGTCACCATTAATTTAAACAATTATTTCCGAGGCACACGTTTATATGATCATTATAGTTATAAAAAAAACAAGAGAATAAATGAAAAACAGGTATGAAATAAATTAAAAAAAGTTTAAAAGGGTGATTTGTAAAATATCTATAAAGAAAAAGTAAATCTGTTTACAGTTCTGTTTCATATGGGTGTTGAGAGAGGTGGTATCCATACATCTCTTCATTTTGCTCTCAAAGTGCACCAGATTGATGCATTTAACTTCAATATTTAAAAATAAATCTTCCCGGGGGAGCTTGCCCCCGGACCCCCCTATGTGAGGTCCACACACCACCTATAAAAATAGCACTTTACCCCTGCTTACACCTATATGCCGTGAGCTGATTATCAAGCCTTCATTGTAACAGTCGCGGGTGTATATGCGTGGGGAGTGTTGCAGTAGAAAATTCCTCTGCAGCGACCGGTACATTTATGGGAAACCCTAAATGTTTGAGCACCCTCTATGAAACGTCAAGCTACCCCACAGCACCCCCAAAATAAATCTCTGGCGCCGCCACTGAGCCTGACTATTTGTGTTGGGGGGGCCCGACTTTTTTTTTTCTCCAAAGGGGGGGCCTGACAGGAAAACTTTGAGAACCACTGCTTTAAAGAATCAAATATTGGCAAATTCATGGAGACTACATTAGACAGGTATGAATATGTTTGTGTGTGTGCACAGGTGTGTGTATCTAAAGACTAGGGGTGTAACGGTTCACAAACATTTCGGTTCGGTACGTACCTCGGTTTTTTGGTCACGGTTCGGTTCGGTACGTTTTCAGTAGGCCTACAGCAGAATTTTTTTTCACAAAACAAAACATATATATATATTTTTTTATTATTATGATTAAACTGTGAATATTCACTCAAATAAATACAAAATATAATAAAATAAACATTAAGGTGCAGCATTTCGATGAACTGAAATAATCTGTATTTGAACTTTACTGTACTAGTACTCACAAAACATAAACTATTAGTTTTGGGTTTTTAATTATTATTAAACTGTGAATATTCACTCAAATAAATACAAAATATAATAAAATGAACATTAAGGTGCAGCATTTCGATTAACTGAAATAATCTGTATTTGAACTGTACTGTACTAGCACCTAAGCAGCCAGTTTGACATTAGGACTTGCTTGTCATTGTATTTTCATGTTTTTTTAAAGAAAAATTAACTTGTCCACATTGCTTGCCGAAAGGGCAGATCTGCTGGCACTAACAATGTCTCCTGATGTGGAGAACACCCTCTCGCTAGGGACAGAGGTAGCAGATACAGCCAGGTAGCGCTTCGCTAACATGGCAACATAAGGATATTTGGTGTTTGTAATAGCTTTGGCTCGGTCTGATCTTTTTGCGAGTGGTGGAGGCTTAAATGCTAGCGGGAGTTGTGTTTGCACTTCAGTCTTTTTTCTTTTGGTACCGGTGATATTCACGTTCGGGTGATGCCTTTTCAAGAGTGTGCAAGTTTGATGTATTGCCAGCCGCGTAACCAATTTTAGTTGAACAATGCCGACAAACAGCTTTGGTTCGGTCCACCTGTCTTTGTCCGTCATCCTTGTTCGTAACTGCGAAATCAAAATGTTCCCAAACCGGAGACTTCAATGATGCTGGAGGATTTTCGAGCTCAACTTTATCTGCGTTCGCCATTAATTTTTGACAGTTCCTCAAATTATTGACTACATCTGAACGCATCCCTCTGACCAGCTCTCATAGTATGCCTCTCATCCAATGAAAGGACTTGCTCGCTCTATGACGCGTTGAACCCAATGTGAGCAAATTACTCTGAATGCTGCGACGCAGCACCTGAGATTACTTCCAAAAAGTTATTCACGTTCTCAATTTTTTACGTTTAACGTTATATTCGTTCGGTATACTTCGGTACACACCTGTACCGAACCGAAGGGCCCGTACCGAATAATTTCGGTACGGGTACGTGTACCGTTACACCCCTACTAAAGAGAGAATAAACCTGTACCTGTGCACATGCTTGTATGCATTTCAAAGATGTGGGTATTTGTTAGATAGACAATAGATATTCATAATGCAAAAATAAAGTATGCATTAAAACACAGGTAGGCATGCATGCACACATGCATAACAAGAAATCCTGTTGAAATACAACCCATACATCACATTTCTCTAATCTT